TCTATTAATTCTTTAAAATAAAATACATCTTATCTTTTTAATCTGAAAAATAGTTTTGGATATGTTTTTAGATGTGACAGTCAACTTTGGTATTATTTTCACAGATGAAAATTATAACGAAAGTGAAAAACTGGAAGGCAAAATTAAAACTGCAGTATTTATTTAAACATAATTTTACCAATATTTTACAAAGTTTGTCTTTTCATAAATATTTGATTGTTTAATAACTAATTGTTTTTAAGATACAAAACCTTTATAAGAAGTTCAACAAAACTGTACCGTTCAACTTAAAGTTGAATTCTATGAAGTATGTATGGCATTTATTTTTTTTTTTCACTACATCATTTTTCTCATTTTTAATCTATTTTAAAAGTTTGTTGTAAATAAAATTGTTAATTTTTAAAACAAAACAATGTTGTAAATACAGATCTAATTTTAGAATATGCAAATATTGTTCAAGAAAACGCACTTATACACAAGTATGTGCCACTAAACAAGACACCCATCATTTTTCCTTTATCAATTAAGTTGCTATACTTGTTTTGATTAGATTTTTTGTAAAATATCTGATCAAGTTTTCTTAGTAACACACCTCTCTCGAAACATCATTGGATTGAACATCAGTCATAAATGAGTTTTTTCCGAGAATTCCTAAAATTTCTGAAATTCACTCAAAATTCCTTTAACCTTATGGAAATTTGTAAATGTTTTTACTTTTTACGCAATATTTGCACAATATTGTCTACAATATTGGCGCAATATTATAAACTATATCGCGCCAATATTGCAATGTCAACATTTTGCCAATATTGGCAGTACAATATTGCGCCAATATTGTTAAGTCAATAATGGCCAATATTGTCAAAATGCTGACATTACAATATTGGCGCGATATTGTTTACACTTACAATTTTATAAAAAAAATTCAAGTATGACAATTTTTGCATTTAAGCAAGTACATTTTCTATAATTTATACTTTCGTGGGCTTATTTTTTGTAATTTTTTTTCTTTTATTTTTTGTTTTTAAATCATTCTAATTAATTTTTTTTTGCTTAAGAAGTTAATTGATGTACAACAATGTTAAAAAAGCTGTATGAAAACGATATGCATTATTACGGCATGTTAGAAAAAAGCATAAAAAAATCATTTTAAGGCTGTTTTTTATTTGTTTAACAAAGATGCAATTTCATTAAGTAGTCTTGTTTGCATTTTTACAGGTTCAACCGTTTATATGAAGGGAAAAATCAGTGGGTTTGAAACAAGATTAAGAAAAGTGGTTCCTCACTTACTTGATATTAAAGTCATTAAGTGCACACATTTTTTGATTCACTCTATTGGGAAGTTAGTTTAGAATTTACTGGATGATATCTACATTGATTTTTAAATCTGCCCAGCAATTTTTACTTTTTCAAAAACTTCTGATGTCAAATCTCAGATACATACAAAACTCTAAGGGTTTTTTATCTATGGTTGTCTGTTTTAAACAGCACTTTTCTTATGTTTGAGATGATACCTGCATACACTTTATTTTTATTTTTTTTTTTTGTTACCAAACAAGGACATCTCTCCAAATAAAGATGAAAGTGACACACTTTTAAAAACTCTTTCGAATGAAAGTAAAAACCATTACCAAAAAATAAAATGTAAAATACAGCAGAACAAAGTGCAGGAAGTAAAGTTAAAATTGTTGAAAATTAATTTTTCGAACATAATGAAACATTATTTTATTTTGTATGGCTCAATTCTTTCTTTTATTAAAAATGAAACATTATTTTATTTTATATGGTTCAATTCTTTCTTTTATTAAATTATTCATTTTAACTTTTGAAACCGTTGTTTAATTAAATTTGACGAGCGAATTGAACTGGTATAAACAATATTAACTGGTTTTACTAAGCCTAAGATGGTAAAAAATTTTTAAACTTGAAAGATAAAAAACGTATTTTTTAGGGCATTTAAATTGTCATCTTGAAGGTTATGATAAAAAAATATTTGTCAAGAATAAATATTTGAATCCAGACTTTACTGAAAGCTTAAAGTAAATCATCAGTTTACTAAATAAATTTTCTTTTAACACACCTTTATGAAAATGCCTTTTCGCAATCATCCCAATGTCTCAAGGTCACGATAACACAGAGAGAATGCTAAAAAAACTCCTAACTTTCTTTCCAACTGTAAATAAAAATAAAGCAATATTTAATCAAAAAATTATGTAACTTTAGATAGATATGACGCTTCCATTGTTTTTTCTGATAGAAAGCCTCTACGTCTTTACTCTTGTTGGGCAGAGGTTTCAAATGTAAAAACTGTTTAGAGCTTAGTAATACCAAGTCGTGTCTAATTATATTTTGTAGTCCTCATGTTGAGCAATCATTTAGCATGATGAACACCATATTTAACAGAAAGTCAAACCATCTTGATACTTCAACATACTTTCCAAGCAGCAAACAATATATTGTCTACAATAATTAAACAATATTGTCTACAATATTGTGCAAATATTGCACAATATTGTAGACAATATTGTGCAATATTTGCACAATATTGTCTACAATATTGGCGCAATATTATAAACTATATCGCGCCAATATTGCAATGTCAACATTTTGCCAATATTGGCAGTGCAATATTGCGCCAATATTGTTAAGTCAATAATGGCCAATATTGGCAAAATGTTGACATTACAATATTCGCGCGATATCGTTTACAATATTGGCACAATATTGTAAATACAATACTGGCCAATATTGGCGTAACATAGTTATACTGTTTTTAGTGTTAAACAATTTTTTTTAATTTTTTTATTTTTTTTTCGCTAGAATATCTACAAGGTAAATTTACATTGAATATATTACCGGCAGGGCTTCTTAAAGATCACAGTTCTATCTATTATGTAAAATAAATACAAAAAAAGTGGGCATTTAAATGGGTCAAAAATACAACACAATGTTCTATCTAATATGTAAAATACAAAAAAAAATTATATATAAATAAAAAAAATGTTTTATGTAATATAATATATCATATCAGGTAGATCATTTTATATTTTTTTGTTTATATATACTTTTTGTATTTATTTTATATATTAGATAAAACATTTTATTTACTACATTTAAAGATAGAACAAGATAATACAGAGGGGATGAATTGTTTAACCAGAAAGAATAATGCAGCATATAGTAAAGGCTATAGTGCATACTATATTTTTGTATATAGTTTTGACTATAATTGTATATAACTTGAGTTATAGTGTAGAAGGCGATAATAATCTAGGAACGCTTTGAAAAAATGAGACTTTTTAAAATCTAATAATAAATTTATTAGAAGTTATGTTAAACTGATACAAATGAATATATATAAATATATATATATATATATATATATATATATATATATATATATATATATATATCTATATATATATATATATATATATATATATATATATATATATATATATATATATATATATATATATATATATATATATATATATATATATATATATATATATATATATATATATATATATATATATATATATATATATATATATTTATATTACAGCATCACATTCTCACTATCAGATAGTGGGCATTGATTTTCATATCAATAGTGGACTTTGCTCCTATTTTTTTCCCGCCTTTTCTATCAATGCCCGTTGCCAGAAAGCTGCCGATTCTTTCTATATTGGTTTTGTCATTAGCGTTTTCAAACTTTTTTTATGGCAGCTGCAAACAATTTTTAAGTTGATAATGTTAAACAAGACATGAACACAATGTAATCAAAAATTATCAAACTTATTAATTCAACTAAATACGAAAATAAATAAAAATACCTATAACCACCTTGCACCTTGTAAGAAGCGAAAATGATTTTTTTTGTTTCCTGCCATACATAGAGTATAACAAGCATACCTTTTAGCCATTAGTTGTTTTAAGCCGTGGTAAGTTGCTTGTAGTCGTCGCCTCAAACCGATGCAAGGAAGTTCATCTAAAACAAAAAAAAACAAAAAAAAAAAATTGGGGTGAACGCAATCTTAATGTGAGGCTCCCTATGATTAGTAGGCTCATTGCTCTACTAAATGAATTAACTGGGCATAAATGGTTAAAACCTCTATACAATTTAATAAATATACTTTATATAAAGCTTTCTTTTCTATATCTTAATTAAAATCAAATGTATAGTATATTTTATAGTATAGATATTTTAAATGCACATGGAACTGTTTATAAAAACTATTACTTGATGTCAATTCACTGATACATACCAATGATTCATAGGTGTCATTGTTCCGTAATTACATTCAGGCCTAGAAGTTCTTTCTCCTCTTTAACAGGCAAATAATTCCATTTAACTGATGGGGATGGTCTTGCTATGCTCTAATTGCTTATAGAAGGAAACACTAAACCTTTTTAAACTGATTAGGTAAGTGTATAATTTTTTCAAATCATATTGAATACTGACAAGCAGCTCTAAACTTTTCTTCTAAAATGCTGCAATAAAAAAGTAATTTTGAGTTTAATAAAAATGAATTAAATAGATTAGCTTTTTATTAAAGTCAACACAAAAAACTAAGAATAAAATAGTATAATTACATTCAAAAATGTATTAAAGAGTACATTTAATTAAACATTCAAACAAATAACCCATCAAGGTAATCCTTTACCAGCGAATGGGTGCCTAAGGCAGCCACAACAGTTGTTAAGCTCTGGTCAGAAGAGGAAAATATTGGTAGAAAACGATTCGAACTAAATGGCTCAATATATCGAACAGTTGTGGGTTGTAAAATATTTTAGCAATTAAAAGATTTTTAATTGCTAAAATATTTTACAACCCACAATCTTGGGGAAACTGATGGATATGTCTCCTCAGTGTCACTTGTATTGCAAACTGCTAACTTTTTAGCTGGTGGCATGGATAATTTTTCATCACTATCAGCAGCTGTTTTAACGCTTGATGTGAACTCTAACATTTCCATTTGTTCTACAGCAGTTTCATAACTGTCTAAAAAATTTAAAGAAAATATAAACATAGCTGTTCAGATCATTAGCATCTAGCATGTGTGTAACATAAAATTAAACAAGGAATAATAACATAATAACGACACTTACCAGAATAATAAAGAACTCTTATTTTTAGCTGTTTTCAGTTACTTTCAGGAGTAAGTGTTGCTTTGCGTATGACAGTTAAAAGGCGAGATGATCGCAGGTGATTTGGCCAACACACTAAACTCTCATTGATCAGCCATGACAAACGGTTAACGTCCATGGCACACATGTTTTTTGTTTTTTTCTTCAAGAAAA